GGGGGGGTTGAAGGAAAATAAAAAGTGAAGAGAAGATGGTGGGAGAGGAGGAAGAATCGGAGGAACGTTGGGGGGACTCACTGCGGCATGGCTGGATGCAACGATGCCCGCATCAGCAGCAGCATCTACGGGCTGGAGGAAGAGGAGGGAGGAAGGGGTGGAGAGACGAGGAGGAGGAGGAGGAGTGCATGAGAGGGAGGGGACAACGATGCAAAAAGCTTTAAATCATTCACGAAGCTGCGTGTGTGCGCGCGCGTGCGCGGAGGTTTTTTTTTTTTTTTTTTCATCCGCTACAGCGGATTTGAGGCGATTTGCGGTCGTGTGACTCCTCGAAAACGCATTTACGTGCGCCCACGGGCTTTGCTTTGGTCGCCGATTGTTTGCCGGCAAGCGGAACGACGCCAAGGATGATTTGGACGCGCAATGAGAAACTTTGCGCAAGGGAGGGGCCGGGGCGAAGGCAAGAAAGCGACCAATGGCGGTGCGGATCCGGAGCGAGGCGTGCCAGCCTCTCCTTTGTGAATAGGAACAAAAACAAAAACCACAACATCTAGATAAATATAGATTTTAAATATCATTTATCCAATCGTCTTTAAAATCTGGCTGCCTTACTTACAGATGTTTCAGATGAAAAGTTATTGAAAGTTTTTTTTTGTTGTTGTTTTTTGCACACTGTCACTGTGGTGGTGCGCCGTTTGCAAAGAAAAATGCTGCTGTTTTGGAGGGTCGAAACCTGCCTTTGCAAACACATCAGGCCTGGCAAAACAGCCAACACCAAATACAGAGAAGCAAAGGAACAGTCATAATCCAAAGCATACCACAGCATTGCAGCGGCCATATTTGGATTGAAGTCAGATCAATGACACATGTCGCCGTTGGCAACTGTGGCAACAAACAACCTGCCAAGTGGATGCGAAAAGGTCACAAGTCGGGGTTGGGGGTCGCGGCTGACATTTTGGTTTGGGCGGAGGTGGGTGGGGGGGCATGCCTGATTGATGTTTAATGACATTAAGGGGCGAGAAGAAGAAAAATACATTTGCAACAAACAAATTTTGCACAAAATGATAAAATCAAATGAAAAAAAATAATCACACCCAATTAGGACTAAACCAAAAGATTTTTGCAATTCGAGTTGGCTGATTATATAATTATGATTCATTATATAATTTTAAAAGCTTTTTGTTATGAGGCAAACAACTAGAAAAGAATAATTGATTTTTTTAAATAGAAACTGGTAGTCATTTTTTTTACAGCACAATGCTTGTGGAGGCTCTCAGTCGTACAGGAAATACAGCACAACAAAATTGTTAGTTTTATTTTGAAACCTTTCATCCCCCCCCCCAAAAAAACGACTTCCAATGCTAATTGTCACGTAGCATGTTAGCCATGTAAACCCGCGTATGCCTGCGCTTCCTCTCATGACGGCGGCGACGGGCTAAACGTCGCGTGGACAAACGAGCGCCCGAAGGCAGCTTGAGGTCAATTGCAGTCGACAGCAGGGGGGGCCGTGCGACATAAAAGGTCACTAAGCACATACGGACATGTATCCACAGCACGGACGGTGAGAATAACGTGGACTGCCAGTGGCCTCTGGCGGATGAAGCCAGAGGCCAGCCATCTTGCGTTGCCACTATTCCGGACAAATTGTATTTTTTTTCCCACCCCCGCGCTGAAAACATTTTTTTTTTGTCTTGATGCTTTTTGCTTTCCTTTCATTGTTGCTGCTTGTGACAACATGACACAGATAAATCTTTGAGCCGCGCAAGGAGATATACCTTATGAGACACCATTTATAATCATTCTTCCGGATGAAATTTGCAAGTCGCGCTTCTCCCAGACTTCTTGCTGTAACCGTACAGCAAGAAGGCCGCTGCCGGCGTCACTTGTCACTGCGACGAGTTGGCGGCATGAGCACTGAAGCTAACCTACATCTCCTGACTGTGAGGCAGACCAGAAACACACATGCACACACACACAACCTTTGTTGTCTTTGTGTGCTATAGAGCCTGAAGCAAGGCTAATGACCACCTCAGTCAAATGA